GGGTCGAACTCCTCGTCGACCTCGAGCGACCTGCGTTTACCGCTCCGCCCGGGCTCTTGGAACCTTACCCACAGCTTGGCAAAGCGGCCGCACTCGGAGAGCTCGCGAGGTCTGGACCCGGTGGCCGTGGTGAACACCCCCCCCGTCGCCGATGATCACGACGTTGTGCGTCGCTCTGGTGATGGCGACATTCACCCTGTTGGCGTTGTCCATAAATCCCCTGTCGCGCCTGCTGTTGGATCGGGTTGCGAGGAAGATGACGAGGTCGGCTTCCCCGCCCTGGCTGGAGCCGATCGTGGAGAGGGCGAGCCTGCCGTTCGCCAGGTATTCCTCAGCGACTTGGCGCACGCCGGGGAAGTCCAGGGAGATGCCGGCGAGCCATGAGTCGGCTTGGTCGAACACACTGGCGAAGTCGCATGGGCGGGGGGGGCGTCGAGGTGTGTCTCTTGCTTCGAGGCCTTTGCCTTTTCCTCCCTCGCCCTTCCCCTTCCCTTTGCCTCTGCCCTTCGAGTGTCGGAGCGCGCCGCTGATGCTACGGGAGCTCTGGGGCCATCCGTTCCCCGGCATGGCGCATTGCAGCTGATAGCCGATGACGACCCAGACAGCGACGCCTTCCATCATTGCGGGGAGTAGGGCGCGGATGATGTCCACGGCCTGCGCCGCTTCCCGGAGGTCAGCGTATCCGGCGCGCACTCTGGATGCAACTTCCAGGGAAGGGTTTTCGACCAGCAGAAATCGGTTCTCAAGCGCCCTGCGCATGTCATCGCTGCTGGCGTTGGCGGCTTCGGCTACTTTCTCCAGTATGTCGTCACCCCAGGGTCTGAACTCCTGCCGTGGTAGACCCTTGACCAGCGGCCTCCGGGACAGTGGGTCGTCTAGCCCCGTCCGCATGGCATTGTTGTAGAAGACCCAGTTGGACCAGGCCAGGGTTAGAGGGTGCATGCGGTAGCAAAAGCTGAGCTGTATAACAGCCGACTCGTGGTCCCTCAGTGCGCGGTGGAGTCGGTCGAAGATGGAAAGGCATAGACCCTGGCCCGCGGCTTTCCTGGAGATGACGGTGGGGGGGAGCTGCCCGGGGTCGCCAACCAGCACTAGGTGCCCTCCAGAGCGGATCACGCTTGCCAGGGACATGGTTGCCACTAGCTCGTGCGCCTGTCCCGCCTCATCGACGATGGGGAGGGCGACGGGGGCAGCCTTCTTCAGCGCCTCGGCGGACTAGCGGGTGGCCATGATGGTATTGGCCTCCTTAAGCAGGTCGGCGCGGAACCCAGGGAAGTCCTTAGAGGACGAGCCACTTTCGCATGGGAACCTGCCGTCGGCCTTCTGGCAGGTGTCCTCCTGGAGTGAGCTCTGCCAGTTCCCTCGCCGTCTTGTGATCTTCGGCTAGGCGCGCGCACAGGGCGGGGAACCCGGCGTTGGGAGCCAGCTTATCAGCCCTGTTGGCGGCAAGGAGCGCCAGCGCAGGCTGATCCGCGGCTGCGTTGGACCCCGCGGCGAGGGCTACCGTCAATCCGCGTTTGAGCGCGCCGGCCCAGGTTTCCATGGTAGCGACTGAAAAGATCGTCTTGCCCGTCCCTGGGGGGCCGCGCACAATCGCGACGTGGTGCCTGGTGGAGGCCAAGAGGGCCTTTGTGGCATCACGGTTGAGGCCGTGACGCGTTGCGCCTTCTTCCAAGGTTTCCTGGGACGGGAGGTCGCGACCACGCTGGAACACCTGCCCAGCGGCGCCGTCCACCTCGGAGTCGGTGAAGGGGGGCGCGGCCTGGGTTTCGGTAGGTTGTGCGAGCGCCGTTGAGACGGTTCCAGGCACTGGTAGGTCGGCGCACGGCAGGTGAGCTTCCAGGGTGGCGATGGCGCGTGCCTGGAGGTCCTGACCGCACCGAGCGGTGTGCACGGCGTCGTTCGCGATGGACTTGCCCTTCCTGTCGGCTGTCCGAAAGGTGAGTAGGTAGGTGATGGTGTCCAGGGGGGTGCCGAACAGATCTCCAGGAACCTGCTGCAACTTGTAAATCTCGGTCACCGCTGCCGAGATCCTCCAGAACTGGATTTCGGAGGGCGCCCGGTCCAACCTATACCACGGCTCGCCTTCGTAGGATGGTTGGGCGATGTTGCTGTCCTCGTGTAAGGGCCCGTGCTTGGCGGCGTGGTACACGACGATGCACTCATTGTTTGGGTACCTGGAACCGGGCGGGAGACCCAGCGCTTCGCAGTCGCCGGGGGGATTGTGGCGCCGAGGTCGGCTGGCCACCATAGCTTGACGGAGGCGACCTGGTCCACTGCGGGGCTGGTGATGCTGAGGAGGAGGACCTGTGCGTCCTGTCCTGCGTCTTGTCCCTTGAGGAGAATCTTAAAGGCTGAGCTCCACTGTAGGAGCAGTAGCTGTTTCCCCCGTCCTGGGGAGAGAGAGTCCCTCAACTGGAAGCGGTCCAGGGTGGCGCAGTCCGAGTCGTGGTCGATGTGGGCGACGGATACTCCCAGGGCGCAACTTTGTCGCCTGAGCAGGTCCGTCCTCGCCTTGGGGGAGCCGTCCCAGACTGTCTCGGTCGCGGCCATGCATTCGATCAAGGCGAGCCTTTCGAACGCACGTCCGCGCTGCCGTAGCTCCTGTGGCCAATGGGGTGGGAGTGGCACGGCGCGTGGGATGTTTCCCAGGGGCACGTTCAGATGGATCTGGGCACCGCCGCAACTGGCGGGAATGGAGTACAGCTGCCTGACTGCTTCCGCCGCCGCCATCGCCGATGATTCCAGGAAGATCCTCCGTGCGCCCGCTGAGGACGCCGCCGCTCTGCTTGGGCCTGGCCATCCGTCCGGCGCGTCTGTCTGCCGCCTCCCTGCGGACTCCCGCGACGACGCTCTGCTCGCAGCGTTTGGCTTGTCGGCGCCTGCGATTTGGGGGCTCCAGGGACTGGTGGGGATACGCGAAGCGTCAAGAACTGCTGATCTTTGCTATGCGGGTTGATTGCATGGGGTCCCGGCGGCTGCGACCGCGCGGAGGGCACCCTGCCGTCACCCTGATTTCTCATGCTTCTGGCCCTTCCAACATGCTCCCGGTAGCTTCCAGCCCAACCCTCCGGCCACAAAGAAACCAGCGCAAACAGCTGCAAGATCAAACCGGCCCGCCCCCAACATGGCCGAGATGATGTCCAAGACCGGGCGAAGATTGCCTCCGAGACGGCCCAGGACGCCTCCCAGGCAGCCACGACGGCCCAAGAGGCCTCCAAAACGCCCTGAGAGGCCTCCATGAGGACCCCCAAGAGGACGCAGAGCAGCAAACATCCCAGACGTTCAATATGTGTTTCAATGGCTTCGGCGTTCTCGCCCTGGAGGGCCATCGACAGCCTCAGACTGCCCCAAAGAGCGCCCCAAGACAGCCGAAGATGGCCGCCAAGACAGCAAAGATTTTCCCAACCATACTGTGGTGTTGGGCCCTCGTTGCGAATTAGAAGCGCTCCGCGTTCCTCCTCACTCATGCTGATTTGTGTTGCTTCCCGCGCCGTTTTGGCCGCGTTGCGCCCAATTCCGCTCTGAGCCGCGCGCCGCTCGCTTCGATGTTCTCCCCTTTTCTTCAGCGCGGCCCGCCTTAGCTTGCACGGCGTTCGACTCGTCTCCGCGCGCCCGCGTACCGGAAAATTCCTCCTCACTCCTCCTCCTCCCACTCCTCCTCCCTCCTCCCGCGCCTCCCTCCTCCCATCCTCCCATCGACTGCACGCAACAGTGACCCTGGGTAAGAGTGACCTTTGGTGCGCGGTTTTTTGGGGGCCGCGGGGGGACCAAACACGAGCGCGCAAGACGTTACTACCGCACCGCGTTTGGCGACCGGGGGAGCCCATTGGGCCCGCACCAAAGGTCACTCCGGCGAAAGGTCACTCTTACGTCTAGTCGATCCCATCTCTGCCTCTGCCCTCCGTAGGGAGCTCCACCGAGGGCCCCACCGGCAGGCACGGCGGCCCGCGCGCCCCTTTCGTCGCACCCCCCGCGCGGCTCGCAGCGGCACGCGGAGCTCCACCGAGGGCCCCAGCAGCAGCACTCCCCTCGCACGTCTCGCGGCTGCAAAATGCCAAGCTCCGCCGAAGGCCCCAGCAACAGGGTCCGCACGGCGGCCCCGTACTTCTGTCGGCACCCCCCTCCCTCGTCTCGCGGCCACACGAGGGGCTCCACTGAAGGCCCCAGCGGCAGGGTCTGCCTGGCGGCCCCGTACGCATGTCGGCACACCCCTCAGAAGCTCCGTGGCCCCGTAGAGAGCTTCGTCGAAGGCCCCAGCGACGGCGTCGCATGGCGGCCCCGCAACAGGTCGAGCACACCCTCGCACGTCCCGTGGCCCCAAAGGAAGCTCCACCGAAGGCCCCAGCGGCAAGGTCCACATCGCGGCCCTGGCACACACCCCACACGTCTCGTGACCCCGCAGAGGCCCCAACGGCAAGGTCCGCATGGCGGCCCCGTACTCATGTCGGCACACCCCTCAGACGCTTCGTGGCACCGCAAGGAGCTCCACCGAAGGCCCCAGCGACAAGGTCCGCATGGCAGCCACACACCCATTTCGGCATACCCCTCACACGCTTGGTGGCCGCATAGGGGCCTGCCCCTCCTTCGTCCAACCTGCCTTGCAGCAGCCGCTCCCGCATATGGTTGGGGCCCTTGGTTCGGATAATTTCATCCACAGCGCAGCAACCAGCCAACGAAACACCGAATACCTAGAATGATCCACATAATATGATGCCATATGCACAAGATGAACTCCAAGTCGGCCAAGATGGCCACACCACGGCCCAAGACGGCTCCACCACGGCCCCAGATGGCGCCAACAGGGCACAAGGAGGCCCCAAGAGGCCGCCAGGAGGCCCCAAGGAGGTTCCTAAGAGGCCCCCAAGAGGCCACTTCCTCGCATTCCTCCAGCTCCTCCTGCTACTACCATTCATTCCCCGAATATGTTCCAACGCGTGGCCACAGTGGCGTTTCCACAAAGGCAGGGGGGCGGCGGCGACTCACCGTAGGCGTCTTAGGCGTCTTCGATAATGAGCGCATGGTTGCTTACTGGATTGAACGGCCCAAAATTTGTGATGCAACACAGCTTGGCCAAGAGCCACCAGGACCCTCGAGACCGCGCACGGATGACGGAGGACCCCGCCACCAGAGAGGCCAGGTAGCAAAAGGCGGCGCTAAGATGCGGCCGTGAGACGAATGCCCAGAGAATAGTATCAACAAAGCGATGCGTGAGGTACCGACAGGGGTAGCGTCGTCATGAACGCCATCGTGCTTGCCAACGTCAGTATCGGCGGCGTCAGCATCACAGCCATCACCCATGACCAATGTCATCAGCATCGCCAGAGCTATCGCCGCGATCAGTGGACATTGTCGAAGAGCCCACGATCGCGGAAGAAACTGCAAATGAAGGGCGCCAAGTACGAGCTGCCGACGTCAGTGAGATGATGCGCGTCGTCGTATGCTAGGAAACCAGTGTCGGGGATGAACGGGCTGCAGAACTCCCTTAAAGGAAAGAAATATGGCAGAAAGATTATGTGTCAGAGGTCTCGCGGACTTCTGAGATCGGCGCTGGGCCCACCTCCCTGGCGCGCAGAGCGCGCCAGGAGCGGCGCCACAGGCGCCGCCAGGGGAGCCTGGCGCCAGTCCGAGAAATCCGCGAGGGGCTCCCAGAAACTATTTTTATGCAGTTTCTGTTACTCCAAATCTTGTAATAAAATGGAGGGGGTCACAACCCTCCCAGACGAGCAGTTCTAGACCCCAATCCTCCCAGACGGGCAGTTTTGGAACCCCCCCAGACCAGGAGGCATGAGAGGGCGGCCTGTTGCCCAGACACCGCGGAACCCTCCAAGACAACTCAAATCAGACCCCCAAACGAATCAGACCTCCTCCCTTTTGTGAAATTCGGAGTACCCAGTTCCTGTTGCAGAACAGCTCCTCCACCCCAAAATACAGCCAGCCTGTCTCCGCCCTCAGGGCTTGCAGGATCGGAGTCCGCATCACATCGCTCCTTTCAGGGAAACAGGCCGGTCTTGGAACCAACACGCCGAGGCAGCGCCGAGGGTCGAAAGGAAACGTGTGCTGATCACCGAACACAACGAGCGCCGCGCCTCTGGAGTTGGCGATGGCGCTCCACTCTCCTAAGAAATCGAGATCCACCACGGTGCCATCGGCACGCTGGGGTGTGGAAGGATGCCTGTCAGCTTGCCTGCAAGGCGTCCGCAGTTTTCCAGGGGACACCCCCTCCGCCGCAGATGGTCTCGAGAATCCTCTCCTACCTTTCGCTCCCCGGCGCTCGTCTTGGCCCAAGGACGGCTCCAGGACAGCGAAAGGCCGCCCCAAGGAGAGTGCAACATGCATCGAAACTGGCACCAGACGGCCCAAGGGCACCCCAGAGACCATGTGATGTCCACCCGAGATTGTCGCAGGCTTCGAAGAGCCTTCACGAGGCGCACATGGAACCATCTGACCAGGCCCTGTGATGCCGAAGGCACAAGAAACCTCAAGTATGTCAGCTCTGTTGCGTCCCCAGCACTTTGGCCCCAATGGTCTTGGGAAGGCGTCGAAGAACCACAGAAGTGCCAAGAAGCCCGGAAGACGCCCAATATAGCCTGAAAAAAGCTCCTAGACGGCCCCCACAGAACCCTCCATGGGAGCCCCGAGACCCGATCAGACGGCCTTAAGATGCCTCTACCATTGCCTCTGCCAATCCCCTCTACCAGATTGTGCCCAAGAGGGCCCCAATACCTCCAACAAGCTCCCAGGAAGCCCTCAAAGGCCCGCCAAATGTTCCCAATGTGTCCCCAAAAGAAACCCCGATGCTTCAAAGAAGAACCGCAAGAGCCATACACCAGTACCCTCACGCCAACGCAGCACTGCTTATCAAACAGCCCCAGCACTGGTCTTCAGCGTCTATTCGGGGGAGCTCAGAAGAATCACCCCGCATAGGTTCCGATGCCGCGCTGGCACGGTGGTGAAGTTGGCCGCAGGCAGCTGGATACCTTCTGACGAACTCCTCGTCAGCATTGATTGTCGGATTGTTGATGAAGAAACTAAACGCAACGACGTCGCCTGGCAGCAAGGTGCGGCCAGCAATAGCCTGCAGCTCCGACCGAACGCCAAGCCACGAAACTTCACCGACAGTAGGGGAGTTCCAACTGCCATTGATCATCGATCTGCCCAAAACTGCACCCCAGTGGTGAATATCGAACTTGCCCCGTACAGCAAGCGACAGTCCTGGAAAGAGCCTTCTCGCATGCGAGTCGCCGAAGAGAAGGAGGATCGACTTCCGATGACGGTCGGCATCGACCTTCAGGCATGGTGACCTGGCTGCAAAGTCAGCTTGAGCTTTGGAAAAGTTCCTTCCGCGAGTGCAAATTCTCAGGGGGTCCGTGTGCGACATGTTGCACATATTTTGTCTGCTGCACAACCAACCGCCACAAGAATCTCCTAAGTAGTAATCGTAGTTATGGGCAAACGATACGAAGCACTCTTCGGGAGCCTCGGCCCCGCTCAAGTCAAGGCAAGACGGCAACTCAGACCCGCTGTCGTTCAACGCCGCTGGAGGGGAATGGAGGAACTCTGGCACGATGGTGCAACCACATCCTGCGTCTGGCAGCTGGACGTGCGTTTCTTTGACACGTCTGTATGCCTCGACGTCGAAGTCCACCGCGGAGGGCGGCAGGGAGCTCCAGGTCGCAGCGAGCGCACCGTAGGATGCAGTCCGCAGATCCCGCCACAGAAGGCTGGCCGCAAGGGCCAACGCGGCAGGCAGCAGCGCTGCGAAGACGCTGCGGTGCCTGAGCGGGTGCCAGGAGCGGAAACTCCCCTCCACGGCATGATACGTCACAGCGGCCAGCGCAAGCATGACGAATGCCAGAGTGAGGCACTGCACCGGGCTGGCCGCATCGAAGAGGAAGAACTCGCCGGCAAAGCACCGAACTGGCCAATGCCACAAGTAGAGCGGGTAGGACAACTTGCCGATGTACACTGGCACCGCGTGGCCAAGCATGCCATGGTTCACTGCACTTGTGTCGCTCGATCCCGCGACAATGAAACAGACGGTCCCAGCGACAGGGACAACGGCACCAGGGAAGGGGAAGCCCATGCTGTCGGGCGTAACGAGCCAGAAGCCCAGGCCCAGCAGCAGCAGCGCCAGCAGCTGAGCCGCTAGAACCGCCGTGCGTTTCCAGGTCGTAGGCCAGCTGGATCGCCCAGACACCTCCACCTCGGCGAGGATGGCGCCGGCAGCGAGCTCCCAGAATCGCGCAGGCAATGCTAGGAGAAGGAAAAAGCACACAAACACAAACTTTTGGCGCTCCGCGCGGATTTCTTGGATCCGCGCTGGATCCCCCTCCCTGGTGCGCAGCGCGCCGAGGGCGGCGCCGGAAGCGCCGCCAGGGAAGGGGCCCAGCGCGGATCCAAGGAATCCGCGCGGAGAGCCACAAGTTTATGTTTACGTGTTTTTCTCATCTTCGAAACGTGTAGAATGCCAAATCTGGCACGCGCGCAGTCATCCCCCACGAGGCACACACCGACAGTGCAGCGCAAGCCCCGAGAGCGACGACAGGCGTGGGCCACTCCGTGCCGTCGGGCCCCGGCGTGCCGCACAGCGGACGGTGCACGAGCACCAGGAGCAGGGGGAAGACGAGGTAGAAGTGCTCCTGGAGGAAGAAAACAAAACATGATACCGGAGAAAAAAACAATTATCCCAATGCGACCCTACCTAGGAGTTGGAGGATTTAGGAAAGCAACATCGAACATCTATATGAAGCTAAGCTAAGCTAAGATGAAGCTAAGCTAAGATGAAATAAGATGAGCTAAGATGAGATAAGCAACGCTAAGCTAAGGGAACGTCACTGGGGGAACCGCGGGGCGGATGCCGGGGGAACCGCCCGGGGCGGGTTACACTGCCCGGCCCCTTAAGCCTCAGAGTAAGAACCCTTCTAGGCAGAGCCTAGGTAGGGAATCAAAGACTTTTCAAGTCTATTGGACTATGGGGCTATGGGGCTATACGAATCCGCTAGGACCCCTACAGAAGCAAGCTCTGATTGGAAAAGAACCATAGACTTTGGGATGTCCGCGCGGGTTTCTTGGATCTGCGCCGAATCCCCCTCCTTGGCGCGCGGAGCGCGCCAGGGGCGGCGCCGGAGGCGCTGCCAGGGGGGATCAGGGAAATCCGCGCGGCTCGCCAACAATTCTTATGGAACGCACAAGGACATACCATTACTATATGTCGTCCTTGGAGGCGCGCGTCCGACCCGAACATATAGTATACAAATATTTTAGCATATCGTCTCCCGAAGCGTGTGGCCAGAAAGCGTTATCGCATATACTGTAAGATTTCTCGGTGCGCGGCGTCGCCCCTGCGGGGGGCGACGCGCACACAGTACTAGTACGTTGGGGGGCCGCCGATCTGATGCTGCTTTTCCCCTTCGAGCTCCTCGACCCCCAGGGACCACGTGTGCACGAACGGGTTCGCGGCCGCTCGGTCCCCGCCCGCCATCTGGTCCCAGTAGCCCCCGTCGCCCTGCTGCGAGAGCCACGCGAAGAAGACGTTGGACACGCCGCACAGGGCGCAGGCAGCGGCCGTGAAGTAGTCATCCACGTGCGGGAGATCGGGCGGCTCGGTAACTGCCAAGGTGAGCCCGCAGACTCCGACCACGACCAGCAGCGCGGGGGTCAACCTCTTGATCCGCCTCGCGCAGAAGCCACAGAGAAAATCCGCGGGCCCCCACGTGCGGCGTTCCAGGCTCGAGGAACCGATCCTCCCGCGCCGCAGAGCCAACAGTTGCAGATTTGATGGGGAGAGGCGGCTGGTCGAGACGGTTTCTCGACTCGGCGGGGAACGTGCCGGGCGATGACGCGCGGGGTCACCACTTAGAAGGTCGCCACCTCCAGGTGGGATCAAGGAGAGGGGAGCTCCCTGTGAGGCCACAAAGCGTGTGAGGGGCGTGCCGACATGGGCGGCGAAATGCATGCGGACTCTGCCACCGGCGCCTTCGGAGGAGCTCCCTGTGGGGCCCCGAAGCGTGTCAGGGGTGTGCCGAAATGGGCGGGGGGGCGCATGCGAACGCTGCCACGGGAGCCTTCAGTGGAGCCGCCTGTGGAGCCGCGAGACGTGTGAGGGGCGTGCCGAGATGGAGCGGGGCCGCCATGCGGGCGCTGGCACTATGGCCTTGGGTGGAGCTCCCGATGGGGCAACGGAGCGTGTGTGGGGTGTGCCGCACGGGGTTCGGGACGGCCTCCAAGCGAGCGCTGCTTCTGGGGCCTTCGGTCGAGCTCCCTATGGGAGCCACGAAACGTGTGAGATGTGTGCCGAAACTGGCATGCGGATGAGAGAGGCAGAGATGCGGGGAGGGAGGGCGCAGCGGGAGGAGTGAGGACGCGGGGCGCTGCCGGTTTCAAACGAGGGCCCAACACCACAGGATGGTTGGGAATTGTCCCCACGATGCTCAATTCCCCCCCTCCTACTCCTCGGTCATCGGTCCCCGATCCTCAAGTGGCGACCGCCCGATCACCCCTTTGGCACTTGGCATTGCTGGAAGGTGGGGTGGGGGGGGGCGGGCTCGTCAGGGCGGGGCCCGAACTCACTGTGTGAGGGCCAAGCCGAAGATCTCCCCTGCGGTGCCCGCGAGGCTGACCAGGAGGCACCTCGTCTTTTTACACGTCTCGTTGCCATAACAGGTCCTGCACCTGCTTACAGTGTGACGTGTTGGTCGCTGTGCCGAAGGCGGCTTGTCTTACATGTCATGTGTTTTTCTCGCGGTCGGGAACTTCTGCTTGGCGTGTCGAGGCGGCGGCCCCCGCGACACGCTATGCCTTACAAGCGGACAGCGTGCCACTCAGCTCCGCGGAGCGAAATCTCGGAAAGGCCGCTTGGGGACCGGGAAGGGGACGTCGTGTCGCGCCGCAGCGCGGTTGGCCAGAGCCAGCGGAGCGACACAGCAGCCGCAAGCTCCCGACCGCAAGTACTGCTTCATTCCGTGCCATTTTTCCCTACCTAGGCTCTGCCTAGAAGGGTTCTTACTCGCTTGGCTTAAAGAGGCCAGGCAGTGCAAACCGCCCCAGACAATGCGATCTGAACTGGTCGAAGGCCGACTAACGTCAAAAACGCTGGCCAAACCTGTTAAGGCTTCGGGCTGCGCGCAGAGTGTCTCCCCAGGTAGTCCCGGCAGGCCTCGGCTGGCCCCCCGAAAAGTGCGGGCTGGCCTCAACAGGCCCCCCGAGTAGTCCGGGGCGGCCTCCCCAACTCTGGGGCGCGGAGCGCCCCAGGGGCGCCGCTAGAAGCGATGGGTGCCAGGGCGCTGAGGCTGCACCAAACTACCCAGGGAGCCTGTTGAAGCCAGTTGGTGCTTCTCGGGGGGCTTGTTGAGGCCTGCCAGGACTCCCTGGGGGCCTGACCTGCCAGAGCGGCCCGAGGGGGCCCCCGAGGCCCCCCGAGGGGTTCTGAGCTGGCTGCTGCGCGCACGGCCCCCGGAGGGGCAAGAGCCGTCAAATTCTTTCGGGCTGTCGCACACGCGTTCTTTGCTTGGTCAGGCCGCTGAGCAGGAGAAACGACCACACACGCGTTCCTCCCCGCTCCCCCCATCCATCCTCCCTCGCTCCCTCCACGCTCCCCCTCATCAGCACTCATCAGCATCATCATCATCATCATCATCATCATCATCATCATCATCATCATCATCATCATCATCATCATCATCATCATCATCATCATCATCATCAACAACAACAACAACAACATCAACATCAACATCAACATCAACATCAACATCAACATCAACATCAACATCCTCCTACTCCTACTCCTCCTCATCATCATCATCATCCTCATCATCATCATCATCATCATCATCACCATCATCATCATCGTCTTCATCTTCATCTTCATCTTCATCATCATCAGCAGCATCATCAGCATCAACATCAACATCATCATCAGCATCAGCATCAGCATCATCATCATCATCATCATCATCATGATAACCAGAATCATCAGCATCATCATCATCAGCATCAGCACCATCATCAGCAGCATCATCATCAACACCATCA